ATGGGGTTTCACCATAATGGCCATGCTCGTCTTGAACTCCTGACCTCAGGTGATCCACCCACCTCGGCCTCCCAAAGTGCCAGGATTACAGGCATGAGCCACTACGCCCGGCCCAAAAGGATTTTCAATTAAATTTGTATATTTGTCTCTATGTGATATGATTATGGGGGATCTTTCTTTTTTTTCTGCATGTTCAAGTTTTTCCCTAAAGTGTGCACATATGTAGGTATATGTGTGTATGTCTGAAACCGGGTCTCACTTTACTGGAGTGCAGTGGCGTGATCTCAGCGCACTGCAACCTCCACCTCCCAGGTTCAAGCAATTCTCCTGCCTCTGCCTCCGGAGTAGCTGGGATTACAGGTGCATACCACCATGCCTGACTAATTTTTGTAGTTTTAGTAGAGACGGGGTTTCAGCATCTTGGCCGGGCTGGTCTCGAACTCCTGGCCTCAAGTGATCTGCCCACCTTGGCCTCCCAAAGTGTTGGGATTACATGCATGAGCCACACTGTACCCAGCAAGCATATATTCTATAATGATAAGTAATATAATTAATTCTCCTCGATGGGGGAGTGGATTATAAAAGGAGCTATGAATGGAGTGATTCAGGAGTAGCAGTGAGGTCCCTTTGGGAACCTGCATATTGAAGGGGAGCTTGATTTTCTCTGTGCTAAAGCCTTTAAGGGGCGTGTCCTGGCCTTATGCAGAGGTGACCTTTCATCTGAAAGGCTTCCTCAGTTCCCACTTCCTCAGTCCCCTTGCTGGCTTGTGCACAGGCTCCTTGTCAACCCTCTTTCCACAGTCCAGGGATGTCCTCCTTGCTCCAAAAAGAAATCACATCTAATTTACAGAAGCAACTTCCTAAATACAGAAAAAGAAATGGGTCTTAGCCAGTGTGGTGGACATTACTAATGTTTCACCATTATCCAGTTTTGGGCACATAGAAAACGACATTTTCCAGTCCCTTGCACTTAGGCAAGGCCAAGCACTGCTTTTAGCCAATTAATCTCAGCTGAGGTGATGACTGTCACTTAGCTGACACCAGAAAGACTGCACAATTCTCCAATCTTCCTCTTTGTGGATGTGGTGACCAACTGTGTTTAAGATGGTGCAGCCAGAGGGTGGTGGGGCCTTCTTTGGTATGGAACCTGTTTCTGCTGATCCACAGTAGACAGGTACATGAGTAGAAATACGTTATTCTGTAAGCCACTCACTTTCAGGGGTTGTTTGCCACCACAGCATAACTTAGCCTGTCCTAACCAGTACACCAATTAGGCTATACTTTGACTACATAAAAATTCAGACTCAGACACTTGGTCAATAGGAGAAAGAGCAATTTTAAAAAAGAGGAAGCTTTAGAAATAACAGCAGAGCTGTTCAATTCCAGCTCTATATGTCTCAAAGGGATTGTTTGCATACCCACATTGTGAAACAAAATTCGGATTATGAGTTACAGGATGATTTTTTTTTTTTTTTTGAGACAGGATTTCACTCTTACCCAAGCCGGAGGGCATTGGTGTGATCACAGCCTCAACCTCTTGGGCTAAGGTGATTCTCCTGCTTCAGCCTCCCAAGTAGCTGAGACCACATGTACACCACTACACCTGGCTAGTTTTTTTTGTTTGTTTGTTTTTGGTTTTTTTTGAGACAGAGTCTTGCTCTGTCATCAGGCTGGAGTGCAGTGGCACGATCTTGGCTCACTGCAACGTCTGCCTCCCGGGTTGAAGCAATTCTCCTGCCTCAGCCTCCCGAGTAGCTGGTACTACAGGTGCACACCACCACACCCGCTGATTTTTTTTTGTATTTTAGTTGGCCAGAATGGTCTCGATTGCCTCACCTCATGATCCGCCTGCCTTGGCTTCCCAAAGTGCTGAGATTAAAGGCATGAACCACCACACCCAGCCCACCCAGCCCACATGGCTAATTTTAAATTTTTTTGTAATGACAGGGTCTTGATATGTTGCTCAGGCTGGTCTTGAACTCCTAGCCTTAAATGATCCTCCCACCTCAGCCTCCTAAAGTGCTGGGATTGCAGGTGTGAGCCACTGTGCCCAGCCTACAAGTTGATTTTGACCCAGCAAAACCATGCTGTTTTAGATCTCTAACATCAAAACTTTGTACAAATCCTTCTAGAAAGTTGAGCTATATCTTTACAACACCTAGTAAAACTTGAAGCTCTCTCTCTAATTGTTCCCTCTCTCTGCATTCACAGATGTTCTTTAGGGCCCAGGATCCCACATCACAAGGGTCTGGGAGAAGTTGGCCAAGTTATGGGAGCTAGACAGGTATAGGAATCTCCATCTTAATCTTAGTAATCTCTTCCTGAAAAAGCAACCGCTCTGATAAAAACTCTAACCAAAAACCCTTTTCCCAGTGTTTTTATTTTTATTTATTTATTTTTTTGAGACAGGGTCTCATTCTGTAACTTAGGCTGGAGTGCAGTAGCATGATCACAGCTCACTGCAACTTTGACCTCCAGACTCAAAAGATCCTGCTACCTCGGCCTCCCAAATAGCTGGGACTACAGGCATGCACCAAAATGTCTGGCTAGTTTTTAATTTTTTGTAGAGATGGGGTTTCATCATGTTGCCAAGGCTGGTCTCAAACTCCTGGGCTCAAACAATTCTCCTAACTCTACCCAAACTGCTGGGATTACAGGAGTGAGCCACTGCACCCTAAAATGGTAAATTTTATGTTACATTTATTTAATCATAAAACCAAACAAATAACAAGACTGGTTACTTAAATAAGTAAGTGGGAACTGGGTAGAAAGAATGGGGCCCGGGCATGGTGGCTCATGCTAAAATCCCAGTACTTTGGGAGGCCGAGGCGGGCAGACCACCTGAGGTCAGGCATTCAAGATCAGCCTGGCCAACAATGGTGAAACCCTGTCTCTACTAAAAATACAAAAATTAGCTGGGTGTGGTGGTGCATGCATTTAATCCCAGCTACTCGGGAGGCTGAGGCAAGAGAATCACTTGAACCCGGGAGGCAGAGGTTGCGGTGAGCCAAGATGGCACCACTGCACTCCAGCCTGGGCAACAGAGCTAGACTTTGTCTCAAAAAAAAAAAAAAAAAAAAAATTTTTTTTAAAAAAAAAAAAAAAAAAAAAAAAGAGTACATGGGAATTCTATTTTTGTAACATTTTAAAGTCTTAAATTAATTCAAAATGAAAAGTAAAGAAAAAAATTTAAAAGAACATTAGATATGCAGGGAGGATACGGGCCTTTCAGTCCATCTCCAAGGCATCCAGTAAATTACTCCTGTGGCAAACAGGGGAGACCAGGTTACTTTGGTGGGGGTGTGGGTGATGGTGGGGGTGGTTCTGATGTTTCAGAAGAAGGAAAGAAAAGCGTGTCCTGAAAAACAAGGAGGATTTCAGGGAAAGAAGAATAAAATCTGATGTACTTGAACTTGACAACTTTCTTGGAGCAGGGCTAAGAGAAAGGAATCATGAACAATCAGGCCCTTTTTGAACCATTATCCCCCTTCCCTACCACACAGGGGAGTGTGGTCAGAGAAGACCGGGCATCTGCCTAAATCCAGTGTCTCTCAAGAAGGCTGAGGTCACTACTGTCCAGGGCCAAAATCTGTCCTAACTTCAAAGGTCTTGCAGGGGTCAAGCACTAGAGTCACTGGCACACTTGGTGCTGGACCTATAGTCAGTGTCACACAAACATAATGACACATCCACTCTTATTTTTTTGAGACACGGTCTCACTCTGTCGCCCAGGCTGGAGTGCAGTGGCTCAAACACAGCTCACCGCACCCTTGACCCTCTCGGGCTCAAAAGATCCTCCCACCTCAGCTTCCTAGTAGCTGGGACCACAGGCACAGGCCACCACACTTAGATAATTTTTAATTTTTTTTGCATGGGCCAGGCTGGTCTCAAACTCCTGGGCTCAAGCGATCCTCCCACCTCGGCCTCCCAAAGTGCTGGTGTAAGCCTCCACGCCTGACCCTACATCCACTCTTGAGAAACAGGACACAATCACAGTCACCTCCATACCTTTCCAGTCACAATCACACATCCACTAAGACACACACAGTCACATAATCTACTCTCCACAGTGATACACAGTCACTCCCATATAGTCATAAGCCCCCCACACCAATACCGACAAATGCCTCATATAGTCACAATCACACACCCACTCAGGGGACACACACCATCACAGGTACTTTATGGTACCCAGTCACAACTGAACATTCACTGTGGACACACACAGTCACACTCACACAAGCAACCCACACAAGCAGTGGCACCCCACTCCCACATACACAGCACCACACACACACACACACACCCCAAGGGACACAGGAATACACACGTGGCGTCACCACACAGTCACAGTCACAGGAAATTGCACACGGCCACAGTGTCACACAATCAAAACCACTCACCCACCTTGGAGACATGAATCACAACCGCACGTACCCGCACTGGTCACACAGTCAAAACTGTACTCACACCCCAGGAACAGGGCGAACAGGCTATATACACAACGGGGACACACGCAATATCACTCCTGGTCACAAGGACCCTGCACTCCAATACTCACTATCACATGTGATTACACAAAAACCAACAGATAGACACCCTGGAAACAAGCGGTTACACCCGCACAGTCGCAGACATCCACACCCGACCATACAGCCACAAAGACACATTCAGAACCGCGCATCTGCAAGCCGGCTCCCGCCTGCGCGAACAGATCCGAAGCTCCGGACACGCCCCGGCCCCGCCCAGGACTCCCAGACCCCTCACCTTCTGCCTCCCCTGGTCGCGTCCGGGTCCTTGCGGAGTTAACGAGCTCGCCACGACGTCAAGAACGACGTAACGTCAGGCCGCTGTGGGGTCTAGGAATTGTAGTCCAGAGCCAGATAGGCCACGGACAAAATGGCGTTCTCCTACCTCTGAGTGGGGGCCTGGCCCGTTTTGACATTGCGCTCACGAAGCTTCGAAGAGGGCGTCGCTACTCCAGACGCTCCAGCAAGCTTGAGCTCATCTGTCACTAAGGAACAACTTACCTCAAGAGCCCCATCGTCACAGGAGGAGGCGGCCAAGTTTGGGGGAAGGGAGGAGACGGAGAGCCGACCAGCAAAGCCTCAAGGGAAATGTAGTCCAAGGCCTAAGGAGCGGCGTTGCTGGTAATAGAAGGTAATCCGGTACCAGCCTGGGCCTGGCCGCGGTGACCGAGGCGGGCGGCGTCGCGGAGACTTCTGGGAGTGTTTCCTCGCTCTCGGGGTGCGCAGGCGCAGCGCACCGAGTGGACATTTTGGTCTTTGTCCGCGGGTCAGTACGGCCCCTGGGTCCACGTGGCGCGAAAGTAGGAGGTGGGATCTGGGCGTCTCGGGTCGGTCGGACCGGGGAGGTTAAAGGGGAGGATTCCTGATCATTAGGGGCGCGGCGCGAGGGCAGGGAGTGGGTCTGAGAGATTCTGGCCTACGTGCGGGGCGGAGGTGGGGGCCTCTGAGGCAGGTTTGAGCGAGTGTGACCCTGAGTTTGACCGCAAAGTTTGACCTGATGTTTGAGATTGTTGAGTGAATGTGAAACTGGGTGCGGGATTGTGTGTGATTATGCCTAAGAGGGAGATGTAGGAGACCAACATTGAGGTGTAACGTTTGAGCTGCACTTCCCTTGTCGAAAGTGCTGATAATTATAACGGTGCCATCTTCCTGGAGCATCTGTTTTACTTGAAAATTGAAGGGGTGGAAAAGCTAAGTGGGGAATAATTTTAAAACGTGCTTTTATGTAAAAGCATTTCTTTTTAATTGGAGTGGAATGCAAATCACTGTGACTTTTTTTTTTTTAACAAGAATGTTTCAAAGGAACTGTTGTTTCGGGGTGCCTGCTTTAGACTGTTCAGATCCCCAAATCTTTGAGGTACTTTAATAAGGCTGTTAAGCAAAGCCCAAGACTAAATAGCATTGTACATTTTGAGAAGCAATGCCATATAACGCAGCCCAGGATGAGGGAGTCAAAGGTTTTAGATTAGGCACAGTCATCCTCATTCGTTTGAAGAAAACTTAATTGTTGCAGTATTTATGAGTCTGGATTAAATCCTAGGTGTCTTAATTCCTTCATGAGTGGAGGCGTCCTCAGGTTGTATGGATTTTGTGGAGTAATAGAGAAAACTACTTCCTTCTGCAGAGATGCCTTTTCTAAGGAAATCACCCACTGTCGTCTTTGACATAGTTTTAAATTATAAAAAGTTTAAGTAATTGGGTACCAAATTAATATCGACAAATAAATAGCTTTCTAATTTACAAATATCAGAATACATAATTGAAGAAAACTAATATTTACAGTAGCAGTAAAAAGATAAAGTAGTGTAGAATAAACAGGAAAGGTTCAAAAGTATTAGGAAAGAACTTTAAAATACTAAGGGACATACAAATGTTAACAGACAAATACAGCATATGACATTAAGAAGTGTGCGCAAACTTAAGTAAATGTATTAGTTTAATGTGATCTTGGCCGGGTGAGGTGGCTTATGCCTGTAATCCTAGCACTTTGGAAGGCTGAGACAGGCGGATCACCTGAGGTCAGGAGTTAGAGACTAGCCCAGCCAACATGGTGAAACACCGGCTGTACTTAAAAAAAAAAAAATTAGCCGGGTGTGGTGGCAGGCGCATGTAATCTCAGCTACTGTGGAGGCTGAGGCAGGAAAATTGCTTGAACCTAGGAGATGGAGGTTGCAGTGAGCCAAAATTGTGCCCCTGGACTCCAGCCTGGACAAGATAGAGACTCTGTCTCAAATAATAAGAATGCGATCCTAACAAAAGTATGGAAAGGCCTTTCTCTTTTGGAACTAGGGGAAGCGATTCTAGACTTAATGTGGAAAACCAGACAAGCCACAAGAGCCAGTAACAAACTGAAAAAGAAAAGCCATTGAAGTGTGGGGAGGTGGGAACCTAACACATTTTAAAATATAAAGCCTCAGGCCTTGCTTGGTGGCTCACATCTGTAATCCCAGCACTTTAGGAGGCCAAGGCAGGAGGATGGCTGGAGTCTAGGAGTTAAGAGACCAGCTTGAGCTACATAGTGACATCTCCTGTATTCCTAGCTGCTTGGGATGCTGAGGTGGGAGGATTATAGGCGCATGTCATCATTCCTGGCGAATTTTTGTATTTTTAGTGGAGATGGGGTTTCATCATGTTGATCGGGCTAGTCTCAAACTCCTGACCTCACATGATCCACCCGCCTCGGATCTCCCAAGGTGCTGGGATTACAGGCGTGAGCTAATTTTGTTTTTTTTTTCTTTTTAAGGAAGACATAGGCCAAGGAGCCAGACTTCCTGTGTTAACTCTTTACCACTTTGTACCTTGGGGATCTCAGGCAGGAACTTAAACCTGTGCTTCAGTTTCTCATTTCATAGTATAGAGGTAATAGCAACATTTGATTCAAATGTTGGTTGTGCAGCTCCAGAAGTTAATACATGTAAAGTTCTAAGAATAGTGCCCAGTGTGTAGTAAGTACTTCATAAATATTAAATATTAGTATTTTTTATTACTATCTGCAAAAAAATGCTTCCTCAGTAATTATTATAGCCCAGACATTAGTACTGTGTCTGGTAGGAATTTCTGAAAGAATAAGAAATGTAGATGTACTTTTCTTATTAATATTTCTATATTTTAATTTTTTTACTTAACATTTTCTGTGGATGTTGACTTTTTTAATTAGAATGAGGAAGTTGTTGTTGTTTTTTTTTTGGAGATGGGGTCTCACTCTGTGGCTCAGGCTGGGTGCAGAGGTGTGATCACAGCTCACTGCAGCCTCCACCTCCTGGGCTCAAGTGATCCTCCCACCTCAACTCTACACCTCCACCCCGATGATTGGACTACAGGTGTGTGCCACCATGGCCTGCTAATTTTTTAAAAAAAATTTGTAGAGATGGGGTCTTAACTATTTTGCTCAGACTGGAAGTTAGATTTCTGGGTTTGAGTTATAGTTTATCTTTAGAAAGTCATCACTACCCTTTCCTTTGGAAGATTTGTTCTGTGATTACTTTCACATGATTCTGATTCAGAATCTCTAATGATTTTTTTTTTTTTTTTTTT